TTATACCCTTTAGCACAACCATCTGAGTAGATGAAAAATCAACACTGATGAGAACAAGTGTTGATCTTCGGTTTTAAAAAGGCTATTATTAGCCATTTTTTCTTTATTTATAACACAGAGCGAAGAAAGTGACAGACAGCCAAGACGCACCTTAATAAGGACGTGGTCTCACACACAGAGATGCTAGACGACTCTCATTCAGAGGAGCTTCAGGGGAACTCCTCTGCACCAAACACCACAAACACTCGCTTTAACTCTGATTCTTTCTAGCAACAAACCAAGGCGGCAGTGCAGATTACAAGCTGTTGTGTTTCTTGCACCGTCAATGCACCAGAAACTCAGAGGGGAAATAAAAGAATAGATTAGAGAAAATGAAATCCTTTGGGATCAACCAAAAATGATCAAGATGACTCATTTGATAATATGTTGTGCAAGAAGTCATACACTAAAGCTCTGACAGGTGTGGGCTGGTTTCCTGAATCAAGATTTCCTGTGCCTTGCTGGTGAGCTGGTAGGAGATTCTAATTTATTCTTACTAACAGAAAGGATAATTGTTGACAGTGAAGGTGTTGAAACGGAACTCATTAAAGTATCAAACTGTGCGCTGAAGGGCAAATAGTTTTAAATTAAAGAAATCAGAGCATGAAATTCAGTTTTGTTTTAAATATTTGAGTAAATACCATAATAAAAAAGTTTTTACAAAAGACTATGTTTACTACCGGAGTGAACATGCCTAACTTTTGATTTTCTGCATTTAACTGCCATCCTCTCAAATGTCTTTTGGAGCACATATGATTAGGCCTGACAAAACTACATAGATAAAAAAAGTCTTAATGAAATACATTAATTGTAAAAACTGCAGATCTGCTGTGAAGAGAGGCTGTAAAGAGAGAGAGAGTGCAGGGCTGTCCTCAGGCAAAGAAGCAGATTGCTAAGACATGAAATAATAATAAATGAGTCACTGCCCATTCAGAGCCAAGCTAAGCAGAGATGTAATCATTATTCAGATTCTAGGTTTCAAGAAAATGTATAAACATGAGGTTAGAATAATAAATGATGATCTACTGTGGAGTCACATAGGCTCTATGCCTGATTTATTCACAAATGCCGTGGCTGTCAAACTTTTCATAACAACTACCACTGGGGAAAAGGTTTTCCAGTCATACTTACTGCCATGCTTAAAACTGTAGTACAACAGACCAAGATTTCACAAGTTTGTTGAGTCATCTCATTAAAGGGAGCGAAGCAGAGACAGATCTTAATTGCTACCAATTAGAGGCTGGTTGAAGGGTAGATCTACTCAAGCATTCAATTCTTACTCAGAAACCGGTTAAGATCAAGTTCTAACTTCCAATGTAAATGTTCCTGATGACCTGTTAACCCCATGAGTCATTAGCTAATTACCTGCACCAACTTACACCACATAATCAGTTTCTTTTCTAGCTTATTACGAGTCGGATTGGGGTGTTGGCATGTCCTGGTGACTATCTCTAGCAGTCATCATTACAGGGCAACACGAGGACAAAATGAGACGAGTATGGAAGCAGACACTAACAACTGAAGCCGGTTCAGAGAGAACAATTAACCTCACATCCATGGAGCACCAGAGGAAACATCCATAGCTAGAACTCCACACAGAAAGCTGCTGAAGTGCTAGAGTGATGGAGAACAGCATGACACAGTGCAGCCCCTCCCCACCTGTTGCTGCATGGTGCCAGACAGCTGCTAGAGAGAAGGCTTGACAACTTTGACTGTTGCAAAATGTCTCCAAGTACTAAAACCACAGAAAGCCATGATATGGAAACTGAATTACCATCACCCTTCACTCTGCTAAGCTGTCCCTGCATCACAACTGGCAACTCTGACTTATCAGATCATGTACTGACCCTACAGTGTAGCTAACTAACTTTACATTTAGTAATTGGTATAGTCATTGCATCCCGTTTTGAAGACCATTGTCTACTGATGCAACAGGTTTCAGCGAGGAAGACAGGCAGCCAGGTCTGAACAGGAACAGGAAGTAGTCCCAGAAACACCTGCATCGCAGGTACATGATCTAATTAACTCTCAGATGTGTTTCAGTAACAATTTCTTCGTAACTCGAGGTGAAAAGTCTCGGAAATGTCCGAAAGCGACACACGAAACTTGTTTACACAACGCAGCCAAAGTCTCCAGGTAAATAAACGCCGTTAACAGGCGAGCAGGCGAAAAAAAAAAAAAAAAAGAGCCGATTTCCTCATACAAGCCTGACAACTAACCTCCGGGCTCACAGGTCTGATTGTTATGCGTTTGTCGGCTCTGAATAACTCCGAAGTTCGGCCAGAGGAGCAACAACAACAACAACAGGTGTCACCGGCGGCTCTTCCGCACTCGCGCTCACCTTTGTGTAATACAACATCCACAGCTCGTACAGCCTTTCCTTCGATGCCATTCCGCCGCCTCTGTGGTTGCTCATCACCTCCTCGTGTATCTCTCCTTTTTCTTTTTCTTTCAAAGAATCATGCGAGCGGCGTCTGTCTGAAGTTGCTTCCTAAAGGCAGGGGGACGCGGCGAGCTCCTGCCAACCATTCCTGCAAATATCCAACAGAGGCACACAAATCGGAACGATAACGTAAATATTGGAGGGAGAAAGAGAGAGAGAGAGAAAATGAGCTCTCAGCGTCCAAATGCAAAGTTATCAGAAAACACCAAGTCACCGATTCGATCACTTGCCGAAACTGTGCAAGCACAGGGGAGGAAAATGCGTGGAAATCCACGCCCGGAGAAACACCCATGTATGTCCGCTGTTACGGCGAGCTGGTTGCTGTCTGAATCCTGCTGCTGGAGAGGGCTCCCGCGGAAGAAGCGAGAGATGCCATCCACTCGGGACTCAGACGCGGCAGCACTGCCCGTTCCGGGGTTTCGCTGCGTTCAGAGGGCGGACGAGGAGCGACTGATCATCAACTACTGTTAACAAGACCATAAATTCACTGGGAAGTTGACTGGAGATCATGCTGACAGGTAGATTGATATTCTTAAAGACACACGCACAAATAAATACGGGCTTAACCCAACACTGCCAAACAGCAGCAACAGACAAGTCTACCTGTTCAAAATAAATAAATAAATAAATAAAAGGAAAATAGAAATCTAAAAGCAAATTATTTGCAGTAGAAATAATCAGGGACATTTTAACAACTTTATTGTGTGTTTCTGCACAATAAACAGCCAACAGCTGAACTTCAGACTCCATTATCAACTTGTAATGGTTCCTTATTACTTATTATGTTGTATTAAACAAAAGCTGTAATAAACAGCAGATGCTTTTGGGAATAAAAGGCCAATCATAAAATTATCTAGAAATAAGAATGACGAAACAGAGATAAAGGATGAATACTGAAATTAAATCGTGTAAGGTTTTAAAGCATGGATTAGGTAGAGGGTGCATTTTATTTTTGATAAATAGTTGGTGGTCGCCACAAATCTGTGGAAGACCAACACAAAGCGAAGTAGAAGGAGATGACGCATTCTGAAAATGTTTTATTTTAAAATTCTGAAAAGTGTGGCATGTGTTTGAAATCAACCCCCCTTTACTCTGATACCCCTAAATTAAATCTTAGTGTGATTACTACTGCACTTTGTAAAATTGCTTAGTGTGTGTGTGTGTGTGTGTGTGTGTGTGTGTGTGTGTGTGTGTGTGTGTGTGTGTGTTGGGGGGGGTGCGGTTGGAGGGGAGAGGGCGGAGGGGTGTTAAAGGAGGCACACACAAATTTCCATTTGAATTTTGCTACAACTCCTGATAGGGGACACATTAGCAAACTTTTAGAATAAGATTTTTAGGTCATGTGAGTCTAGAATGAACTTTTTCACCTACATGCAAATTGATTGGCAGGAGCCTAACACTTTAGGTTTCTCTCAACAATCCATAGTTTAGATAAAACCGTGTCTTTGTCTTGTTTACAAAATACTTTCCTTGCAAGTGATGGCAAACAGGGAAGAAGACGGGAAAAGACATCACTTCCTAAATGTCCAGCACTGGTAGCGACGTAAAGCAAAAACTTTGTAGCTTTAATTGAAGCAACAGGTAGTTTCACAATGCATTGAGTCAGAGGATATGGTTAAAAAAGCATGCCGCACCTTTCAGGTTAATATTTGTAAACAAATATATATATATATATATATATATATATATATATATATATATATATATACATATATATATATATATATATATATACATATATAATATATATATATATATATATATATATATATATATATATATACATATATATATATATATATATATATATATATATATATATATATATATATATATATATATATATATATATATATATATATATATATATTTGCATAGGTTGATTTTCTTTTTCTGACGAGAGCATCTTTCAGTGGCTTTATTGGACCGTTTCTTTGTGTTGTTTGTGCAGCACATTCAGTGTAGTGATCTATGGAACACACCCAAGATAAATAAAATGTACTACATGACTTTATTTTGATATTCAGCGTTTGTTAAACCGCGAATCTCATTTGGAACTGGAGTTTATTTATTTATTTATTTACTGACTGACCTTGAGCTTGTTATTTCCCTCGAGGTTATCTTTCTAGGTTTGTCCAACACCACCAGGACAGGGCTGTGTTGTGACACGCCAATGTTAATCACCAGAAACACAGACCCAGTGCAGCTTGAGGAAGCTGAATTACTATGGCCATGGCCTGCATTCCTAAACAAGACCTGACACTGTGACCATCAGCAAACGTTACAGTGAGGCTAAAATTTGCTAACTATATATAGAGAGCATTTGTAAAATGTAATTGAATGATAAATAATTTACTCACAAATGCAAATATTATATGGAGCAATAGATTGATAAATGTGTGGGGTTTTTATTTTTATGTTTTTATTTTTCATTTTCAGGACAATACCTCTTTTGTTGTTTTACATAGAATGGTTTCGTTGTTAATTGGGGGCACATTTGTTTTCAAAACAAAGTCACATGAGCAGGCAACAGACCGTCAGAGTTGAGGCGCTCGACGGGCGATTGTCCGCCCTGCTGCAGCAGGGTCTGCTAATGGATGTCAGAGAGAGTCGAGCGGCGCGTGGGGAGAAAAACATGGAGAAAAACGTCGGGTCGCTGCAGGAACAGGCTCTGAAGAGAAAAGAGAGACTCAAAGCGCTGAGGGATAAAAAACTTCACGTAAGTCCCTCTTCTGGCTGGGAGTAATATTCGAGAATTTGAACACGGTTAAGAAGAGGGTACTTTTTAAGCTAGGTGACGTTAGCCACTTAGTTTCAGGCTAACGTTAGCCAATGAGTCGAGGCAAGAAATTTAAAAATTATCCAATTTTATTCAAATACATAGTGTATCTGTTTGTGTAGTTGTTCAGATATTAAATTAAGACGCGTTTAAGTCAAATTTGATTTTGTAATGGTCGTTGTGTGGCATATTTGATCCTTTTTTGCAGTGCTGATGAGCTAAGCTAAGTATTTTGTGTTCTTACCTCCATATGCTTGATGATTAGACTGAAGGTTGCTTTGTGCGTGCACATTGCTTTATGGTGCACACATATTAACGTTTTTCGGCCACAACATTGAAAACCTGATGTTCGCTTGAGAAAGATCTGATGAAACTCCAGTAGATTAAATTACACGATGTATTTGATCCCATGAAATTTGTGACAGGTCCTATTACATCTTTCATTTAATACTAGACTGCAAACATATAGTCAAGACAGTCCCTTGTATTTTTGTTTCGCAAATAATTTGTAAATGGATTCTACCTTTTGTATGTAGTGTCAGTAGAAGTAGCTAAATCTGCTTTTATTTCAATTGACCCCTTCTTAAAGTAAACCTGAATTTTGAGTCGAAAATAAATACCACCTGTAAAACATGCTTGTAAAAGCCCTTGGCGAGCTGACATCACTCTGAATTACAAAAACGCAATGAATGGATTGGTGAAAAAAAAAAGAAAATCAGGATTTCTTTCGGTTTCTTTTCAAGCAGAAAATTTGATCAGTTCATAAAATCAATTCAACACCCAGTCCTACATAAATATAAATTAATATAGCAATTAATTTACATTAATCTAAAGTCTATAAACCCATAGTGCCTTCTGACCCCAACATTAAAGTCCTTGCATTAGAGAAAAATTTTTAAAAAATTTAAAAGAAGAAGAACAATTTAAACGAGCATGGAAAAGTTGACAGTAGGCCCACAGTGGATGAGAAATAGGTATGTATTTTTCCATTAGTGATGAGGCCTTTTACAGAGGAATGTGATTATACTGCTTCAAATAGTTGAAGTTATGTATGTTCTGGCGTTGGTTTATGAAACTAAATGTCTTTTTTATTTAACACCAAAGTTGTATTTCAGCGGAAAACAGTTTTTGCTGTTTTATTCACATACACAAACAGTTTAGGCACTGATTCAGTTACAGCTTTTCTAAATACAAACTTTTCCAGTTGCTACTGTGCTCACAACATGAGTTGCACTATTGGCATTTATCTATGTCTTCCCAGAAAAAAAAAACACTGAAAATAATAATCAGTATTATAATTATAATAATCTTTCCCATTTGTTTTGCATATTTGAACTAAAACATAAAATATTGCGTTAGAAAATCTACAGAACAATAAGTCATTCCAAGAATAAAAGACAAGAGTTAGTCGCAAACCTAATATTCAAATCTAATATGACTGTAGTAATAAACAATTTATATGCATTTCCAGAATGCATTCTATTTTATAATCATAAATGCATACACAACATGTATTTGAGAACATGTTTCTTTAATGTTTGGTTTCAGAGTAACAGTTTAGAGGTTGTCAACCAAGTTAAAAGTTGCAACCTCTTGTAGATGTTACTGATTTTCTGACCTGCTACTTTAAGCAGGATAAGTAGGTTTGATTGTTTTTCTGGATCCTGATCCACCTCAAGAGGTAAATGGTCGGTAGCAGAAGTAACAGCACAGACTCGTCCTCGGTTCACTTCACTGGGTGGGCTTAATGTTTTCTCCACTTCATCTCTGAGTGGGATCTGTTTGAAGCAAAGATGATTTTCAGTTCCTCGTTGGGGTTGCAGCCTGTGTTGACACATTTGACAGTGACAGTATTTTGCTCCACTATGGTCGACTACATGTTCTACAAAGGGCTTTTTGCAGAAACCTTATTCAATGTGCCCCTCCCCTTCCTCATCCTCTCTTTTCATAAGATCCTGTGATATTGCGATGGTTGATAAATGTTTTGTTGACATTCCTCCAGCCTGCAGTTGTTGTCCTTCTGTGCTGCACTTGAATTAGAAGTCGCTGCCCTGAATTGTTCTAGCAGGTGGACAGGAAGCCTCTTCAGGAAAATAGAGTCTAGGAGGAGTTTGATTTCCTTTCTGGCAAACTTTGAAATTTAGGTCAATACATTTGAGAGGTGGAGAGGGCTTGCTTTTTAATTTTTGCAAATGAGTTTTGTAATTTGTCTCACTTGATTACATGTGGATAGATTTTGTGCAGGAAATACATTTGCTTTTTTTCCCTCCTGTACATAAAACATCCAAATTTCCAGATTTATCTATTCTTTTCTCTTCAGAAACTTTTGAACAGGTCAGCACTTTAAGCAATGAAGTTCAAAATGTAAATGTGTTATTTGACTCCCAAATCACAGGACATTACAAACACTCATAATTATGTTTGTCTATGCAAATGATGGCCTGTGGGTCTCCTGTGACAGACCTAAATTAGGGTGATTCATATGTTCTTTAAAAAATTGGGAATTTTCTTATTTTTTCATGGCTGAATGCAGTGATTCTTATTTTCCTTGTTGCTGTTATGCTATTTGCTAAAGTGGTCCCACTGTGCTGATGTATCTGTAGGGACGTGAGCAGGAAGATGAGGAACCAGAGAGCAAAAAGGCGGCACTAGAGGAGACTCCCGAAGAAAAGCACAGGTTGGATCTCCTCTCTCTTATGAGCAGAGATGCTCATAATTTGTTTGTTTTGCTTTCATATTGCTCTTTCTTCAGTGTTTGCTTCTTTTTGCTCTACAGTTTACGCACAAACGGAACTGAAACTAAACTTGACGTGCAAGATCAGAGCATTTATCTGGGCTTTAATCGCTTCGTCACTGCATGTCAGTCTGTGTGTGCCGGTTGTGAGATTGGATGTTTACACTGGGCTTTCACACAGCCTGGTGCCATTAGCAGCTCAAATATTGTGCAGCTCGCTCAACTTCATATTACCAGTTGGTAGGAGGGAGCAGCCATCTTTCCTGTCCTACAGGACCTTTTTTCCATTGTTTATATTTAATGACTTTGCTCTAAAGACACCTAAGGGAGTGCCGTAGCTTTTCCTCCAGTCCAACAAGACAGGTCTCTCTGTCAGGGTGAAAATGGTCTCGGGGATTACAAACATCTTTAGCATTTGGGTGTAAAGGGTGTCAAATATATCTTGGGCTTTCAGAACTGTGTTTTGCAAACACTGACACTGGTCTGCAATATGCTGAGTGTGTAATGTATCTTCTTATCAGCATTAAAGTTTCATAGGAGATCGAGTTGCGAAAGCAGGTTGGTTTGGAAAAAAGAAATTCCTCTTGGCCCTTCGACTTTTCTATCTCTTTGTTTTCTAACATTTTGTTCCAGCTCTAATCCACAAGATGCACCAACTATGCCTTGCAGCTTTTCCTGTTTCATCATGTTAGGTGTGGCTAAAACTTCAGTTCTTTTATTGAGAAAGATGGGCAAGCAGATTCCTCGAGTTGACAAATTACATTCAAAGAACTTTGAACGCCTTTGAAATCTGTCTGTTTCATGTTCATGCTTGCCGCGTTGTGTGTCAAAGTAGCTGAGTATATGCTGGTCTGATATTATTGTAAACAGTTGAGCACTCCTGCTGCCTTTTCTCCTAAGCAAGAGTTTTCTCTAAACATTTAGAGAGAACCCCTCTCAGCTCATGCTCTGAATTTATCAGTTTCACTTGATGTCACTGTCTGCTTGAGGTGGAAATGTGTAAACACACCCTCAGTGTTTAGAAGCATTTGAACTTAGTGACGGCTAAAGATAAAAAAAAAATTAAAAAAAAAGCTTTGAGGGCAGAAGATTTACACACCTATTGTCCGTCCTGTTCTTTGTTCTGCTATAGAAGCAGTTGAAACTATTTTTCTCTGGATCTCTTGCTACGTGTTTATTTTCAGGTGCGGGAGGGAAAAAGGACTTAATAGTGATGGAGATGGTGTGAAATTCAGCTTAAATATTAATGGACACAATAGGGTGGTTCTTAATGTTAATGACCTTCTGACCTTCAGCGGCACACTAAAAGGTTCAGGTTTCCATTTGCGGGTTCATCAACATAAACACAGAATTTGCATTTACATAATGAAATTATTGGAATTATCTAAGCTCTTCCCCACAGAGATGAGAATGAAATTTAGTCAGTGATCGGAAAGTTGCAGGTTCGATTCCAGGTTCCTCCTGCCACATGTCAATGTGCCCCTGGGCAAGGCACTTAACCCCCAACTGCCTACCGATCCACGTATCGGTGTATAAGTGTGAGCGTTTGTGTGTGTGAGTAGGTAAACGTGACTCTAGTGTGAAGCGCTTTGAGTGGTCAAAATAATTGGAAAAGCGCTATATAAGTTCAGTCCATCTGCCATTTTAAAAAATGTTTCAAAACTGCAAAATATTTTCTATCATGATGTTTCTGTGACTTAATTTTCTTTTAATGAAATAAAGGTAAAGGGACCCGAGGTTTTCTGCTGTTTGGAGCATGGAGTAATGCAATCCTAACCTTACCTGTTACTGCACACATCCAGTCAGCTGGCTGAATGTGATCTATGGTTTTTCCTACATCACAAGAAAAAGCATAAACACTCGTGTGGAAACGTAAGGTGCCACCAGCAACCACGGTTAGCAAGCTAGGAGTCCTGTGTTTCTCTTTAGATATGAGAACGAGAAAAATAGCAATAGTACAAATAAGCATATTTACTTGAAACTACTAGTGAACTTTATTCAAAATTTTTTCTGAATTCTATGAATCAAAGCCAAAATGATAAGTGCTGTACATGTTAACAACAATAAATAATATGTTAGTTTTAGCACTGCAGTATATTTGTACCCAGAATGTCATCTCAAATATGTCCATGTTTAATCCTGATATGGAAAAACAAAAATCTTAAATGGGAGCTGATTCAAACCATCAATTTCACCTAAAGACTAAAAGATCCAGGTTCAAGGGTAGAAGTGTTTGAAAGGAGCCTGGTCTCTTTGGCTCAGCCTTAGCATAACGTGAGGATCTCAAGAGTAGAGCTGCTGCTCGTCTGGAGCAACATCAGTAGAGTTGCTTCCGTCGGGATACTTCCTGGACCCGACCCAGTGGAGATTTTCCAGGCATGTCCCACCAGAAGGAGACCCCCAGGCTCGACCCAGAACTCACTGGAATAAGTTTGTGTTCGTCCTGGTTGTTTCTCAAGATCTCCCAGTGGTGTTTGAATAGCCAGACACCACGGCTGGATGAATATTAAAAGCCAGTTTTCCCAGTCCTCTGGTCATCCCTCCATTCATTGGGATCGGGTTATAAAATTGTATCTAATCTATCATTTGCATTTTTGTTTCCAAACACAATTGTAGAGTTTTAGGGGACGGTATTCAAACAACAAATTAAACTCCAGTCAACTTTGGCAGCAACAGGTGTGGGAGGGGAGGAGAGGGAGGAGAGCACTGCCCTATTCTGTCATAAAGTTGCAGAAAACTTTCTTTTACTTGATCCATCATTAAAAGCAGTTTGGTAGAAAAGGTGTTGGAAACCGTAACTGAATACATGAACCCAGCTGATCCCTGGTCAGTTGCACTGATATGTGAGATAACGTTGGTATAAAGAAAGCTGGGTTACATGTAGTCTACTTAATGCCATGGAAGTGTTTAATCATGCTGGGTTGCATGAGACATTTCTATTTGTATTATTATTAAAGTGACAGTGCTTTACTCAGTCATATTTTGGTTGTTTTAACAATTAAAGTCAAGTTTACATTTTTCTACCACTGAACCAGCCTCATAAGCATCTGATCTGCACACACACGTTTGCATAAACACGGGTTCCTCTGAATCCCAGTACCCATACAAGGTATCAGGGCCGTCCGATAGAACGAGTGTGATGAATCTATCAAGAGCGCAGCGTGTCAAGCTTCATCCCAAATCCACGCTAAGCTCTGAGCAGCTGATAAGTCTGTTGCCTCTGGACCCCTCGGTGTGATCCGCCAGAGACGTCGGCTAAGCTCTCCAAGAATCCCTCTGTGTGAAGCCGTGGTGAAAGACGCGGCCGTTCTGCATCAAGGGAAGAATTCCTCAGCTGTTTTCTGCCCTCCGTGCCCAGGAGCAGGTGGAACATGTTAATCAGGAAAGCTTGCTGGTATAAATGGGGACATTATACTCTTACCGCCCCCTTTTTCAGACATTAGATGTGCAGCTGTGCAGGGATTTCAGATGGTCCTTTATGTTCTTTAATTTGCCTACACTGCCACCTGCTGGATCGTCACATTTGTAAATATGTTCACAAAAGTTTTTTTGGGGTTGGGGGGTGTTTCTGTTTTCAGAGAACTGAAACTGAGGAATTACACTCCGGAAGATGAAGAGCTGAAGGAGAGGCAGGTACCTAAAGCCAAACCAGCTTCAGGTGAGACTTTTGGATAGAAAACAACCCTTTGACGCTGCAGCAATGAGTTGATCATGTTCTTTGGTTGCAGTGGAAGATAAAGTAAAAGATCAGCTGGAGGCAGCAAATCCTGAGCCCATAATCGAAGAAGTGGTGAATACTTACTTTGTATATATTACTGTTTTATATTAATAAAGCATTTTAAGTTGTCTGATTTACCTTATTTCTGCCTTTAGGATTTGGCCAATCTTGCACCTAGAAAACCAGACTGGTAAGCCCCATTTCAAAGTTCTGAATCAAGGTTGTACGATATCTACCCAGATAGTCATAGCGGTTGAAACTTTTCACATTTTGTCCAATTATAATTATAAACCTTATTGTGTTTTACTAGAATTTTATGAGCTACACGTAAAAGTATCCCCGCAGCATGATGCCACCATCACCGTGGGAGTACTGTATTAGTTTTCCATTACAAAGACTTTTTTACATTCAACACAAGAATTTCTGTTATAGTCTTGTCTTTTCTGAGCACATTCTTCTTGTTTTTCTGTACATTGATTTGTAGACAGAGTTGCAGTCTAATTTATGTCAGAATATTATTGCCTAAAATTGTCATTTGTGGTCAAATATAAAAGATAAAATGGAAAAGAAACTGTATATTAAAAGAATTCATCAAAAACTCATCATGTGTTTTTCGTTTTTTAATCATCAGGGATCTGAAGCGTGATGTGGCAAAGAAACTGGAAAAGCTGGAAAGGCGAACGCAGAGAGCCATTGCCGAGCTCATCCGTTAGTTCAACCGCTTTGTTTGCGCTCTTTATCGCAGGATGTTGCAAAGATAACCATGTTTGGGAGGACTGTGAATTATTAGGCTAATTGCTCTGTGACTCCCAGACCTTATGGGGGCTTGAAGGACTCTGATAACCTCAGATGTCTGATTCCACCGCTGATGGGTGAGCAGCAGTCCAAAAATAGACGGATTCTGTCAGGGAAAAAAACCAGTACTGATTTTTAATGTTCCAGTATTTTAAATACAACACTTCTCACTTTTACTGAAAACGCTTCAAGAGGACGTATTTTGAGTTAGCATGTGCTACAATAGCTGAGATCCTGTTGATGTAACTAAATATTTTGTAGCTTTAAATTCACACACAATGATGAAATTCACCATGAATGATGAAATTCTGCTTGTCTACTCATCCTCACATAAAAAAGCATAACTACACTGAGTTTAACTGGACCTGTGGTCTGATGTTCTTGTTTTGATGAATGAATATGCAGACTGAGGGATTGTTTGCGTGTTTCTGTCCAGGGGATCGGCTGCGAGGCAGTGAGGAGGAGCTGGCTGCAGCGGTGGGAGCTGTGGGAGAGGAGGAGGGAGATTCGGACTGAATACGTGATGTAACGGGGAAACGAAGAGAAATAGGAACTCAGTTCACTGTGAGCTGTACATATTGGCTTCATCCTGCAGAGGAGAGGATTGGATGTAATTTTTTTCTCACCTTCCTATGAGTCATACGTTTCATAAGTGGTTTCTGAAGGTGTGTTATATATGTATATTTAAAAAAAAAAAAACATTTTAAATAAAATGACTGTTTTTTAAAATGGCTAAATTTCCTTGTTAAATAAATAAAACTAGTACAGAAGATATGTGGATTAAAACATTGGTTTGTAAGCAAAGACTTGAGTCTGTACTTCTTCCAAAGTCTAATAAGAAGGAAAAAGAGCAGAAAGGAAAATTAAAAGTTATTTTTAGGTTTCATTCATTCTCCGTCTTCCATTGTGTGTTAGAGATCTGACTCACACTGATTCATTCTAACCTGACCGCTTTTATGCTGCTTAATTAAATATTTACATCGAAAAGTTTAATTATCCAAGTATCCATCCATCTGTCCATTCTTTCATTAATCTGCCTATTCATTTATTTATTCATTCATCTTCTGCCATCCGTTCTTCCTTTCATCTTTGTTTTCATTCGTTCTTCTGTTGATCTGTCCATCTTCATTCATCTGTCTGTGTCCAGCCAGTAAATAACTAACTTATGTCTGTTCATCCATCCATTCGTCTTTTCAGTTTTTCCAATTTTTGTGTTTTATTCCTGATGAAAAATGTCTAATTAAAAATATTGTTCATACATGGAAAAAACATTATTGAGGAAAAAAACAAGAATTATAACATTCCCTGGTTTAAAGGTAAATGTACAATAAAATAAGAAACTCAGACACAACTGAAAAAATGTAAATGTTTTTTGAGTTTTACTAATCACTCGCTTCTGAACACACCGAGACACATTTTAATTACTGTACACATTTATTCAGAAAATCACCTGAAGAGTCACTCTCTACCACTGAAATACCTCCTGATAGGAACTGCTACATGATTATTTTTGCTACATTAGAATCAAAAGCACATTTTGATTCGGTGGATAAAAACTGATGAACACATATGAGCAATAAATAAGCTTTTAGTATTCTGCGAAACATTCACCAGTGACCTCTCTTGCAAGCTGAACTAAAATGCCGCTCTTTCACAATAAAGTGTATCTTCTATCTCTAAGCCCATTCCACCTGCGTCAGGAGTTATTGCAGTTCATTTCAGACAAGGCCACCGGCTGCCCTCGAAACAACCTCTGCATCTGTAAAGGCAAATGATCCAAGGCCAATCTAAGCTTTCAGTCACTGCTTTTTGAATCTTTCGCAGAAACGACATAAATATGGGTCTTAAATGTACCTGCAGCTCATAAGTTAGCTTCAAAACATGTTACATCAGCAATGACACGGTCTACAGACATCTACAGCAAGATGGGTGCACAAACTAAAGTGCTGATATTGTGACTGAATCACTGAGGTTGCGATCAATCCTAGATTCTCCTATACAATAAAAATAAACAGCATTTCAAGGAAGCATCAGGTTTTTCAGCCGAGAGAAAGGCAGGATAAATATTTCTGACTGCATGCAGGTCAACTAATGATAAAGGGTTTTTACTGAATATGGCGGAGAGGAACAAAACTTGACCTCTAACTGCAGACCTCCACAGATTTAGCCCTTAATCAGGTTTGCAGCTGATCTTGTTGATACAGTAGTGTTGAAAGTAGCTGGTGAGATAAAGGTGAGTGTCTGCAAAGTATTCATATTCCTTCTGAGTTTCATATTGGGACTGCAAAAATGTTCATTGTTTATTGGGGTTTCATGTGATAGAAAAACACAAGGCAGTGCATCATTTTGAAGGAGGAGAAAATTAAGACTCAGGTTTTAATACATTTTAAATACGTCATGTATTTGTCTTCAACTACTTTACTCTTCTGCTGTGTATGAGAGTACACAGCAACTCCACAGCAGGGGCCTGAAGACAATGCTATGTATAGATTAAACCATAATCGTGCTAAAATGGCCTAGTCAATGTCCAGATGAGAATCCAACTAAAAATCTGTGGCAAAACTTGAAAATTGATGTTCAGAGCTGCAAAGTCTGCAAAGAGCCTGAGATATTTGGCAAGGAAGAATTATCTTTAGTCATACTCCAAAGCCTCGCTGGTGTACTTAAAGCTAAGCTAGTTCTATGAAGTGTTCTCTGTAGGAGGCCTAAGAGTACATGCATGCAGCACAGTTATAAAATGGGCATCTTTTACAGACGCACTTCACAATTATGCACAACCCTATGCTGATCTTTTCAAATAAAACCCCAATAAAATACAGTAAATGCTATAACATTACATAATGAAGAAAATACAAGGAGTGTGAATACTTTTGCCAGGTGCTTTCATACTGTAGGACTCTGTGGTGCATTCAAGGCCGTCAGTCACACTGGCCTCCGCCAGATTCGATTTTCCTGGCTGCAGGACCCAGCTCCACTTTACAAACCCTCTGAGCAAACTTCAGAGAGCATAACGTCTCGCCCACGTTGCTCTCCAGCGCCGACACCTTCGGTGGAATGATTCAACTCAGTTAGAAACGCTGTAAGAATCGGTTGACGGATGGGCTGAAGGATTTCTTTTACCTGCACCACCATGACGGTCTTGCTGCCTTTCCCCAGGGAGTCCTGTAGCAAGTAGGTAAGGCGAGAGTTCCTGAAGGGGATGTGGGTGTGCCGACCCCGAAGAGCCTGGATGACGTCCCCGAGCGCCAGCAGGGAGCGGTTGATGTTCTGGGCCTCCTTCAGCCGCTCCCCTTCGGCTCCAGACTTCCAGACCCGCTCGGAGCCGGCCAGGTCCACCAGGTTCATCTTACCTGAACAACACGGAGTGAATTCACAGAAAGGCTTTGTCTTTGAATGACAAAATTCCTGACAGTTCGTGGCGAGAAGGAGAAAAAATGCGTGACTGACCAGTGGTTTTGGAGCCAGAGGCCAGGTCAGTGCCCTGGACGGTGATGCACAGCAGAGCGTGGGAGCGTGAGCTGTGCTGGTTCATCTGAGTGCCAAAAGTGATCCTATTCCTACGAGCTGTGGCTAAAATCTTTACAAACAATAATAATAATAATAAAAAACCCTTAAGCATCTGTAATGTATTCATGGAAGGTGATTAAAACGGTATGAGATTGTCCCACCTTTTTAATGTGCTGAAAGCTCCTAACTTCTGTAACCCTGAGGCCTGGAACGTGCAGCTGTCCCGTTCCATCTGGGTTGATCTTTATGTCCAGCTTCTCTCCATCCTTACTCAGCAGGTCTCTGAAAGACAAACCATTCTTAACCTCCCTTTGTCACAATATGTGTTACAGTATGTCACCTCCCGTCGAACAGCAGAACCTGTACCTCAGCACCTCATTGTAAATCTCCACAGAGCTGACTGTGACTGTGTAGGACCACATGTCCTTTCTCTCTTCGATCTCACTGAAGAGATGTTTCAGAGCTCGCTGGTTGATTCCTGGGTTTTCCGCACTGCCCTGGATAATAGAAGTGGCCATGTTATGTTGTTGGGTCTTGAGATTTTAAGACAAGCCAGCATTTTCAACCGCCATTTTTGATTTCCTCATGATCAAAAGTGGCGATCAGGCGATGGCATCTGAAACTTACCTAATATTTAGTTTTTAATGAAAATATATAAGTACAGAAGTGATTAACTGACGAAGCTTAGAAATAAATTCAGGAGCACTGTCTCATAACGAGATATAAGGCTTGTTGAAAAAAAAAAACGTTCTCGTTATAATGAGTTTTACATCTTGTCATAATAGGAAAGTTTCTTGTTTCAGTGATAACAATATGTGCATCTAATTAAAAATGTGCCATTATCATGAGTTTTTTTTTTTTTATGTCAACAAATAACCTTTATCAGTGCATAGTTGCAGCCAGGCTATAAAATTTGTGTTTACCTCCATGGTGTAGGTTTTTCCAGAGCCTGTCTGCCCATATGCAAATATGCAGACATGGTAGCCATCAATGCAGGAAGTCACAAGAGGTTCAATCTCCTGAAAGACCTGTTCAAACCAAACCAAGAGTGAGGTGTGGGGTCAGAGGTCATGTCACAGTAACGTGTTCTTCAAGTCTTCGCCTCTTCCACTACCTCTTCCTGTGTGGCATGTGGCTGGAAGACCTTGTCCAACTCAAAGCTGCGGCCTTTTCCCTTGCTCAGCACAGTGAGGGAGGACTCGTTGTTGGGGTCCGTCGTCACGACAACAGACTGACCTTCCTCATGCTGGTCCTCCTTCAGCACAGGCTTGACCCGGCACAGCACACGGATGTTGCCTGAAACAGAGAGAAAGCTCAGAGAGAGAACAATTCATCTGTATTCACTGGAGCAAACGTGACTCTTCCTCACCTTTCAGCTCCACCAGCTGCTCATGGAGCTTCCTGCGCAGGGCCACTTCCTTCCTGTACTTCTCCAGAAGGTCCTTGTTGGCTTCAGACATCTCACTGATAGCTGTTGAGATCTATTAAAGATTTCAACCTCAGAAATCTGATGTTTCTTTCCACCAAACACAGGAGTTCAGGTCTCAATTACCTGCTTTTTGGCTTCGTTGATCGCTGCAGCGTAAAACTCTGAGAAGTTCCGAACCTGACTCCTTAGACTGGCATAGTCTGTCTTCATGGAGCGCAAGGTCGGAGGGAGAGCTGTTAGACGCTTCTGCAAAGCTGAGAGAGAAAATAAGGCGTGAAGAAATATTCTTTGATTGAGCAGAACGTCTTGTGAGCAGAAGCAGAAGCGACTGACTGAAGAATTGGTCCTGCAGGTTCTGAAAGTGTTCAGCGGAGCAGCTGGCTGCAGCCTTCACCGCCTCCTCCTTTCTCTCCTCCAAGTGGCCGATCTCCTTCAGTAGTTCCTCTCGCAGGTGACTCATTTCTCGTTCGTACGCTGCAATCTGGAAATATTTTATCGCAACAGTTTATCAACCTGTCAGCTTTACATTTACAGTGACTTAACTCTACACTGTGTTGTTACAGAACAACAAGAGGGCAGAACTTTTATTTTATTTTCCATTGTCGGCTCAGCGGTTCATTGCATTTATTTTAAATTATTTCTAAATATTAACGGTTTTAATGGCATATAGCTAGCAGTAATGGAGAGAAAAACTAAATAACGAGTGATGTTCAAAATGTGCAGGACCCTGTAAAGGTACTTGGCATTTTCACCAAATAAATACAATGAACTTGATTTTTATGTGATAGGCGCATACAAAGTAGTGCATAATTGGGAATTGGACTGTGATTTAAGAGTGGGCTTTGACTAGGCCTTTCTGATACATAAAAAAAAAGATTTAATTGAAACTGTATGTTTAAAGTTGCTGCTTCAATGTGATCCTTTGACCCAGTCTCAAGTATTTTGGAGCCTCCTGCAGTGTTTAATGCACAATGCTGACTTTGATGATCTATCCCTGCATCAAAAAAAACCTCCATGAAACGTTATGGTCATCCATGTTCTCCAACAAACCGAAGGATTCAAAGAAAATTCATCCTGAAAGTTGAAACCTTTAGTGCTTACCTTGTGCTGCAGGTTGCAGCTATACTCATCCGACTTCCTGATCTGTTCCTCCAGCTGTTTGCACCTCTCAGTCTGATTGGACAGCCTATCAGACAGCACCTCATTTCTCTGTCTGGCTTTGGTCAGCTGCTTCACTGTGGCCGGCGACTCCACCTCCACTGTCTGTGTGACGTACTGGAGAGAAGATTTACATCTTTTCAGGGTCATATAGATACACCTGAGTCCCTCTGGAGTCCACCACAAGCCCGTTGAGATGCTTCACCTTCACAACGGGCTCCTTTCCTCTTTCTTTATTCAGCTCCAGCTCCAGCTCCTTCACTCTGTCTTCCCGTTTTCTCAGCTCCTCTCCTCTCCTCCACTCCCTGTGTTCGCTCTTCCTCTCCAGCTGTGAGAGCTGCTCCGCCCGCTGCTGCAGGGACGTCTCCAGCTGCTGAACTCGGCCACGAAGGTTCTCGTTCTCCTGGTGTGTGAAACGAAGCGCGTGTGCACGTTGACGGCGGGTTAACATCGGCACACATGTGAGCTCGGAGCTGAACTCCAGCCTCTCACCTTGATGAGCATGGTGTTGGACTGAGACGGGATGGCCGACAGCTGCTGCAGGAGGCCTTGTGTGACGCTCAGGCTCTGCTTCAGGCTCTCGTTCTCGGCCGACAGACAAAGAACTCGCTTCTCTGAGTCCGTGGCTCCCTGAGGGTAAAGTCGTCAACAAAATGAAAAAAGCGAACACTGGCGCTCATTGGTTTAGCTCATCATGAGACATTTTTTTTGTCTGACATGTTGTTAGTACGATATCTTTTTGTAAATACATTAATGTATTTAATAATGAATCCAAATTATGAACACAGAAGTGAATTTTAATAAAGCTAAAGAGACCGTGGGCTCTGCTGATTGCTTGAAAAGTGAGAAACACTTGATGAATGACTCAGTAGATATGTTGCGGGACTCACAGTGGCTGTCCTCAGTCTCGATAGCTCCTCCTCACGCTCCTCTATGCAGCTCTTCAGCTCATCGATCTAAAAAAATGAAAGCAATTTGAAAATTTGACTAGAAGTGTCAGAATGAACACTTGTTTTTCTACTATCAGAAGAAGAATGTGAAATATTTGAACTAGCCTCTTATTATGTGGGAATATTTTACATCTAAGACATATTTCTCTGCTTATATTAAATAGAAGTGGCACTTGTGCAAAATATCAAAATGAAAATGACAGTTTTGATGGTCTGCTTTTACAATACGTAGGTGTATAAGTTTAAATCCATGCTCGAAAGAAACACAAGCTCGCTTCATGAAACATAAAATACATGTTCAGTATTCATATTTAGTAAAAACCAGCCGTGTACCTGCCGCTGAAAGGCCTGTATGCGGGTATGCCTGTCTCTTTCTTTTTGCTCCAGCTGTGAGTGCAGCAGACGCAGCTCTCCTCTCAGTTTGCTCCTCTCCCCCTGCAGCCCGTACAGCGTCTCCACCAGCTGGTGGAGGCCAGCTGGATTCCCCGCGTCACTGCTACACTCACCTGGAAGACAGGAAACAAAACCAATGACATCCAGCACAATCAGCGATTTAATCCCAATAATGTTCTTAGGGCAAAAACTGCAGCAATAAATTTACTGAAATAAAATTTGCTTTTTGTATTTATTCAGATTCTTTTTTTTTATTATTGATTATGCGAAACATTTCTGTGCATGTAAAGACTTTTTTTTTTTTACAAGACTGCAGTAACAGTTGGTAGAAATGCAACCCTTTTTTACTCAGACATCCTTTAATTTCCCTAACATTCCCACGGCATGCTGAAAAGCTCACGTGTAAATCTAATATTTATTACCATTGAAAGTGGACCAACTTTTTTTTTTTTTTTGCATCCATAACCACTGTGCGCTACCGTTGACATCGTTGTGCTTGTGTTCTACTTCCCGTCCCAAGATGCAAATTTAAAGACATGAATTATAATAATGCAACTCAGCAAACCTTTTTAAAACCACCCTGTGCTCCAATCTGAGCTGAAGCAGCGTGACTAACAATGCTTCCGCCTCTCTGATTTATCAGGCTCTGTTGTCTCCTATTTTCATTTTGCAACTTTATGCTAATTTTATTAAGGTTGCATGTCAGATTTGTCCTTGTGGAGAGGTTACGGAAAGAAATCTGCAAAAGGAATTAAACAGGACTGTAAATTTTAATGTAGCAGCGTAAAATTATGGGTAAAAAATCTTTTAAACTTCTAAATGTATTTGTGAAACTCTTGTGAGCTAAATAGCCTAGATAGTAATGACCCAGCCATATTGGCTGACATCTTGCATATTTATGATATACAGTATCACTCAGACCTGCACTTTCCATTGCACCTCTAAAAGAAGGGATAGAAATAAACAGAATAGCCTTGTGACCACCGGGACCGCGGGCTATTTTTATCTCAACTCGTTTACACGTGCTACCCCAGCATGTGCCAGACCTTGTAGCTCCATTTGCTCTGGTTTAAACAGCATCAGCAGACATGTTTTATTCACGTCAACACAGCTGAGATCCAGCAACTCAGGGGAGTCATGAGATCCTCTTAAATTTATCTGAAAAACTGAGACAAATTTGCTCATTCAAGGAGCTGCATATTTATGCACCTGTTAACAAGCTGCACAGCATGGAGTGACACTTTATGAGCGCTGCTTAGGGTTTCTGATCTGAGGTCAGTCTGGTTACATCTGAATCACAGCAGGTACACACAGGCTCTGAGAACCAGGGGGCTGGGCTGGTTTTTGTGACGACACAGCTGCTGAAAAACATCTGGCAAATCTAATCCTTTTTGCTTTACTCGTGTCTCAGATGTTCCAAAAAAAATGTACAGAGCATGTGAAAGAACATGCAAAACTTAATGTGAAACCGATCTGCATATTTTGGCATTCTTACCAGAATATGCTATGTAACTCCTGAATTACAGTTTAATCTGGGTTTTGAGTACACAAGTATAATCCAGGTTACATGTTATTCTGATAAAAAACCTACAGGTTGAGGATCTTAATTTACTTTCACCCTATCAATCCTATGTGAAGTTATTTACCTTTGGAGCCGTGTGCAATATTATTAAAGCAATATGTGAGACTTTTCTACGCAATCAATCAAATTTATTTGATAGTCAGTTTTTCTATTTTATTTTATTTCAATTTAGTGGTTGTTGCTTTTTACTGATCCAAAAACAAACATTTACTTCGACTTGCCTTTTGTGAGAACATGTAAGGCAACCAATCAAAGTTCTTTTGATTTTATTCGCCTGTATTTTTGTTTCTGTTGCTTTTACAGCAAAATGTATGAGAAGTATGTGAGTAGCATCAATTAGCATCAACAATTGTCAACAATCAATCCCAAATCCTTAAAGCTGATTTGTTCTAAAAAGTCACATGGTCTTAAGATGACATTGAAGTTCCAGTGACATTTCCTGCACAGCTACTCTGCTGAAAATGATCATTGAGCAGACATATGTGTAATAAGTCCAGTTCTCCCAGATGGATCCACTGCGCATGCACCTGCTGCACAGCCAGTACCATCGCCATCATTCCAGTCGAAAAAACAAGAAAAGCATCCTTTCGCTCATCAGTTAGGAAGAAAGAAGCCGTTTGAGGAAACTACAGTGACACAAGTTCAGACTGAATGCAAGTCTACTGTCCTGGAAAATCCCAAAGCAAGCGAGATTTGGCATGTACTGATTCAACGATTGGCCTAAATCAGATGGAAGAATTCAAAGAGGAATTTGACGAGATTTATACTTGCTAGATTTATAACAATCATCATTGCCATTATTGTGTGTGGGAGTCATTCGAGTCAAATTCAAGCTCAAATGTCGTCACCCGGAACACAACTATATTAGCTGTGTTTTTTTTTGTTTTGTTATTTTTTTAAAGGTGTATTGTGAAATCCTGCAGTGGAAATTCATTATTGTGAGTGATCACAATTAAGCTTGTAGGTAGCATCTTCAACAAAGACTATGACCTTTACATCTGTCTGTTTTTCATGATCCCGTCACAGCACGGCAGTGATAACCTCTCCCTCCTTCCCCCCCTTCTGTCTCACCCTCGCTCAGGGGGCTGCTGGGACTCTGCTGCTGACTGATGGCCTCCTCCAGGCTGCTTATGATGCTGTTCTTGTCTCTGATGCGCTGGCGGTAGGAGGCCCGCAGAGTCTTCATCTGACGGCGGTGCTGGACGCGGTGCCTCTTCAGCTGGACCCGGTACTGGTCGGCCTGCTGCTGTAGCTGCTGGAAGTGGGAGTACTGCTCCAGAAAGCTTAGCAAGTGAGACATCACTGCCACCAGGGGAGAGTCAGCCAGCTGTTTGACGAGGAAACACATCCTTAAAGTTGATCAACCTGATGCAGCATAAATGGGGGGTGAATTTATGCTGCATCAAGTGTGAGATACCTTTCCTGTTGCCTCCAGCTGGACCTGAGAGGCTCTCCTCTTCTCAGTCTCCTGTTTGAAAGACAAAAAAGCTGCCAGAGGAGTGCAGGCTGGGATGTCTGGGGCATTATCCTCATCTTCATCACTCAGTTCGTCACTGTCACTGCTGCTGCCTGTACAAGCATTAGGAGAACAACAGAATGAAGGACTGTTTGCGTAAGTGGGACCTCCTCATGAAGGACATGCATGGTTTCTTTCTCGCGCACTCACTTGATTCACTAAATCGAGCACAAGATTTTTTTGTTCCGGAGGCGTGGCCATCTCGTCTCCTGCTCCTTGTTTCCATGGAAACAGGTCCTGACTCCTGTGCACAGCATCGTATTCAAGGGTCAGACGGTAACAGACACAAAACACACGCACACACACACACACATGCGCATGTTTTTACAAAAGAAACACATATTCCATATCCAGACATGCGCACAATTACATGCAATAAAAATCCAGCACTGTGAGGCAACCTGTGGCCTGATTGATGTTTCCAAAAATATCTGAACAGAAAATCTCTGAGGATGCAAAATGATGTGGCTAGACTCACATGTGGGGAAGCTCCACAGGCTCCATCCTCTTCCTCCTCCTTCCTGAAGACAGTGTAGAAGATGTAGACTAAAAGCGAATAGAAGGCGTACATCTCCACGCTGTCAGAGAGCTCCTGCAAATTATAAATGCACCTGCTGATTTAGTTATTATGAAACTGATGTAAAGCATAAAAATGATCAGACTTAATCTTAAAATAGAGAAACCGATCATCTAAATGCGAATGTTTAGTTTTTTTTTCTACGATGCACTGGAACCTCTTAAGCATTTTTCTATTATCATTTCATCAAGCTGAATTGTCTTCTGTACCTCATCAAACGACCTCTCCCTCCCGATAATAGGAGCCTGTGATTCCAGCCCTTTGTATTCCGATGTCACGCTCCATCTGCGTTGTCAATCCCAACTCCTGCCATGCAGCTCCTTTTCTCTGGACCTGCTAGAAGATCCCTGCACCGCCAGGCTCATTCTGTTCTCCTCATCCTTTCTCCTCCCCTTCCTTTTCTCCTCCTCTCCACTTTGCTCCATCCACCAGCTGCAGCTCCACGGAGCATGCTCAGTATGGCTTCCTGAGTCGCTGCAGTGGTGCAGCTGCAGATGCAGGGAGAATTTACGGAGAGAGTGGGGTGGTAGAGCCGATGATGACAACACTGGCCTGGCTTGAAGGAAGAAAGGAAGGAAAGAAGGAAGAGATGATTCAGTTCATTCTTCTGCGGATGTGAAATAAACAAACATTGCAGGTTGTTGATTTTAAGCAAGTGAGTAGTGAAACAAAGAAAATTGCTAAATGTTACTGAACAAAAATTAATCTTAAAGAATGCAGATTACGCAAACTTTGTCTTTTATTAGTTAAGCTAACACTGAGTGGTAAATGATTATAAAATGTAAAGGAGGAAAAAGCAAGTAATAGAAAAGATTTGAAAATGTATTTATATGTATTCAGTGACCTTTACTTGTATAATCCTAAATCAAATTGAAATGAAATAAAAGTGCCTTTTTTAATAAATAGATACCACCTGTATTAAATTACATTTCTGAATTAATACATGTTGTGGGGAGATTTATAGAGAAGTTTGGCTGTAAAATTACATTCAAAGTTCTGAATATCTCATTAAGAACTTTTTGATCCATCAAATGAAAATGGAAAGAGCAAAGAACAGAAAACCAAAACATGCCATCGACTGAAACTGACAGGCTGGACAAGAAGAGCATTCAAAAAGCCCCTAGTGACTCTGGAGGAGCTGCAGAAATCCAACAGTGGAAAATCCCAAGTAAAAAGTACTGAAGTTTGTGACTGCAATGCAAAAACTTATTTTGTTCATAAGACAGATTAATTACTTTTGAAATACATAAATTTCTACAGTAAAAATAAGAAAGGAACAAAACAGGCAACTCCATAAACATTTGTCTTTAGGGCCAAGATGTCCTCAAATGACTTGGGATGCAAAAAAGAAAAACTATTTCTAGCATAACACCTCAGAGTTTGGATTGGAGCCACAGATGTTTTACACATACTGCAGTGAACCAGTTTAGGCAGCCGCTGAAACCCTGGGAGACGAGCTGCAGCATCTTTTCCCTGTAGCTCACAGAGGTGTGATGAGCATCAAACTATGACGGAGATAAAGTTAGAGCTTTGACCACTGCAGATATTTCTGACAGTGATAGTGCTGAGGCTGCAGAGGAAAGGCTTCCTAAACTCTGGAGGTAAAGGTTCTTTCTGCTTGCCTCAGTCCAAAATAAAAACACAAGCAGGTAAAAACAGACAGTAGCAACACCAACTTGACAAGAATTAAGCAAAAACAGATAGAAACTCAGAAAACACAAGAAAAGAATATTTTGACTTTTACCTGCAACTCTTAAAATGTTTCAGTTTTTAGCACTGCAACAAAACAACTGAGAATTTGAACTCACAGCTGGGAATTATCACACTGGTTTTGTGTAATTGTATGTTTTTATTCAACCACAGATCATTTGATATTCAAATGAAGTCTGGTTTAGTTTCAGTAAATTTCATTAAAATAATATCTGGTATTAAAACAATGGACGCACTGCAAGTACTGAAAGTAGGCTTCCCAACAGAAGTCCTAGTTTTTTTTAAATGTTAATTAGTAAAACATCAGTTAGACGTACTTATTTAGTGTTAGCTCATGTAATACCGTGCTAGTTTTAGGGCAAACCTGATTCCTTTATCTTGCTACCAAGGGACCAAACTGATCTCCTAAGGTGGCCTTTATCAGTTGATCTCAGGATCAGCTGAAATATTCCTGCTTTTTATTAAAATTTCATTTTTCTGTTTTTACGCAAATGATCTTGATTTACACTGCACATAAAAAAAAACAACACAAAAACAGTGCTGCATGGAAAGGGCAGACCACAACCAAAAGTAATAAAACAACAAGCCCACATAATAAAACAAAGTGATAAGTTAACAGGAATAAATTGCATTCGTAATAAAACAGTGAAATTTGAACACAAAAATTAAGAAAATAAAAAAATACATATGAAACAGGATAGACAAATGTAATCTGTAGTCTAAAAATCACCACTCAGATCCACAACACTATCATAGCAGAGCTTCCCAAATTAACACTTGAAATGTCATTTCACCCTCTGAAAAAATGGTTATTTTAAAGGTTTAATGCCCAACTAAATGTTGTCATCAGTACAGTCATCCTCCAAAACCATTTTGAGTTCATTTCAAACTATTTTGAATAAAAGGCAGCTTAAAATGGGTTAGTTACAATATTGTATATAAATTCTACAATATTAATACGCAGACGATTTAGTTTTCAACAGGTTGTAAACATTATGTACACAAAAATAAATATGCATAAAAACATTGTAGTTCAATTCCTGAAATGATGTTGTGGATTCTGGTTTTAGGGTGCTATCCTAATAATATCATAGGCCAACTTCTGGAAAACTCTCTAATAACTTTCTGCAAAGTAAATGTCAAAAACCCACAGAGAACATGTGAATTACAGCAGCAAAAAAGTGTCTGCTGCTGTAAAAAAGTGTTCAACCTTATAATGGTGGAAATGTACATTGCTTTTATATAATCTGTTCAGCCAAGTTAGATGTTTATGTCCCTTTATCTCTGAAAAAAAAAAAAGATCACCACTAATTTACACATTTATTGTTCAGTCACATCCAACAGAAACTTGTTGAGGGCTTTTGTTGAAAGCCAACAGCCTATTGACAACCACCCCTTTAGAAGACATTTCAGAAGTGCTTCTGCAGCAGGCGGAGAAATCAGAGGAGAAAAAGCGTTCGAGTCGGCCCTCTGTGCCAGAAGTAACGGGAGGCTGAGGGCCACGCCGCCTGCGGCCCCTAACGCATTCCCTGCAAACAGACACACAGTCAAGCAGCAGGACAGAGAAGACAGGCCCATGCAGCGAGTCAGGACAGTCAGCGTCTCTGCTGAGAGCCAGTCTGAGATTCCGAGAAGCAGACAGGAGCCGCACAGGAGAACACGAGCCGTGTTGTGGTCCTGACTGAGCCAGAGGAGGTCAAAGGAAACCAAAGCCGGAGCCAGAACCTCGCCGGTCCATTCTGCCTCTCTCTGAAGTGTGGAGGCATGGAAGAGGCCAAGAGCTGCAGAGAAGCCGAGCAGGAAGAACCCAACAGAGGGGCCCCTGTGGTCCTATAAAGACAGACAGTATAAACACATTCATGGTATGTGATGACTGTGGATTTATGCTGGCACAATGTGTGTAGGAAGAGTAACAGAAAGGAAATAGTTACAACTTAGTGTGTAGGTTTTAAAAAGCAAGTCCCACGAATTGTTTACTTTGACAAGAGAAAACGCATTTTTCATTTTAGAGAGCTTCACTCTATAAAATGAGAGACTTAACACACTAAAACGATATGTTTCAGTGTGCTAACTCCTGCGTTTTTATTGTGGTTAGTCTTAAAATATATGCCTACCTTAAAGAGTCTATAGGAGGTGTGCAGGGCTGTTGCACACAAAACACTGTTGGAACCGGAGGTGACCCAGTCCATTACGCAGGACGCCATTGATCCTGATGCAAACACACGTCTGAAAGCATCCGCCAGTCTGCCAAGTAGTAACACGCAGATAACGTCAAAGAAAGTCTAAATAAACGCATTTCACGGAAGTTATTAGAACACATCAGGAGGTGGACCAATGAGGCTTCCTTACTGATGATAACAGAGGATAAAACAGCAAACTCATCGGGCAGGAACAATCAACGGTTTGTTTTTGCACGTGGTCAAGCCCTAAATCCAGTGCGCAAGCGCACAAAGAATGCCTTCAATGTTGCTCGTAAAAGCTGAGCTGTACCAGTTTCTGAAGCGCCAACAGCACCCTGTCACGTAGCATCAACCGACAATGTTTAAAGTAAGTCAAGTTATTTTCTTCTTTATTCTGACGTGATGTTATGCAAACCTGGATCCCGATTTCCATCATGTTCCAACTATATGACTAACTTATTCCCTATTTCTGTTAAGAAGCAATTAAGTAGGTTTTAATAATATCCAGCGCGTGAGAAGATATGTAGAGGAAGGAAACAAACAGGAATTGATCTGCAAGATGCAATTTATACAACAAATTTGTACAACTCAATTTTTTGAAGTCAAAACTGTTTGGTCTTGATCAGACTCACATTGTTGTCGCCCAGACCATAACTTTGACACAATTGCCTAGATAAAGCATTATTTGAATATATTAGACAATCTCAGCACACCTCAGATGCTCTGTAAACGTATGCGAATCTGTTAAAACATTTGATCTAAATAATTTTCATAGTCATTTTTGTCTCGCTATTAAAATGTCAAATTTCCGTTCCTCCTGACGGAACGTAAACGCAGCAAAAGTTCGAAAAGTATGGCGGCGGTGTGTTTGACAACATTAACAGAGCAGTGGATACGTGACAGACTTCAGTTAAAACATCCTTCTCTTGGTAAGACGGCCTCCCTAAAAAGCGCTCGGTATAAAACCGAGAAAACATCGAGGGTAAATTATTCACTTTAAAGCTTTTCTCGTTGAAAACGTAAACCTGAGCCTGAGCGGCGGCAAGAAGCTAACCAGAGCTAACGTAGCATGAGCTGTTTCCTGCATAAATAATGTTGTTTTTTTTCTTTAAACAGGTGATGTTCGGACACTGAGTCTCCCAGGGACGCATGAGGAGAAAATCGGGCATCTTGGAAGTGCTTTGAATAAATTCTTCCGTCTAAAGTCTCTGGATTTGTCTTACAATGCCATCGTCTCGTTGGAGGTTTGTTTTTCTGCAGCTCATTCATTGACACGACAGTATCACGTTTTCTTTTTTCATTTAGCTATTCTCCTTCAATCCGTTCAAACTGACACAAATAAATAGTGCTTAGTTGTTAACTGGAAAGACAAGAATGTGTTATTGTACAAACAAAAAGTTTAAAAGTGTGATGTGCATATATATATATACATATATATATATATATATATATATATATATATATATATATATATATATATTTGTCTTTTAAATAAGATTTAATGTGAGTAATTGCCTCCTGCAGTCACCTAATATTTCCAGAATGCAGTTTAATCTCAGCTTAAATACAACCACAACTGCAAGAATCGTTTTCCTTCCACTTCAAAGTCATGCTGTACTTTGTGTTTGTCTTTATATGAAGTCCCAATAAAACAGATGAAAGTATTTGGTCTCTCTCACATAGAATATCAGTTGTCCCGTCTTTCACACGTCTCTTCTAAATTCATTTTTTCTTACCTCAGTTGTGGTGTTTAGTTATAAGAAAAAGCAACTGTTTATATTCCTGATTGACGTTTGTTCTATTTATATAACCAGGGACTGAAGCACTTGAAGAAGCTGGAGAGGCTGATTCTTTACTATAACTGCATACCATCCCTAGAAAAAGTACAAGTGCTGTACGAACTGCCAGTTTTAAGGGAGCTGGACCTCAGGCTCAACCCTGTGACTAAAAATTGCCCAGGGTACCGACCACATCTGGTGCACGCCATGCCCAGCCTGCGAAAACTCGGTAAGACGTTCAAGGCTCATCACATTTGTTTGTCGACTCCAGTCATTCACGATTTTTCTTTTACAGATAATTTTCCAGTCAGAGACAAGGAGCGCAAAGCTGCAATACTTGAGTTCTCCACTCAATGTCCCTCTCTGCAGCACAGCAGCTTGTCCCTGGATGGACAGCAGGGCCTAGGGTAACACAGGAAGCCTTCACATTCTAGACACAATTTAATTACGCTTTCATCTTACCGCTATGATACTTTTTACATTTATTAGCACCTCTGGTACAAATATGAAAGAAGCTTTATAAGAAGTATCCTTTTCTAATCTCACTTAGACCACTGTGTGTTTATTCAGAGGATGAAAATATTATTATTTGTTGCCAGTAACAGAATTACTGGCAGTTCTTTCTGCTGGTAAGACAGCCTGTGTCAATGGGACAGCAGTCAGTCTTTCCTCTAACATTTCACAGGATTTAGGGACAAAGGTAAATAGAGGGTAATGAGAAATGCCATCCAAATGGCGAAATATTGTTGTGTTGATTCGGCAGTATGTTTTAGATTATGTATATGAATCGCGTTTTAGTTTTCTTGCATGGACCATCTGGAATTTTGCTTAAAATGGTGCTGTTAGCTTTTGACTAGCGGGTTTTCTCTTCTAACCCACAGCCACGATGCTATGTTGAATTTTGTTGAAGGAACAATCAGAGGTCAAGGGGAAGCTGACGCTCTTTACAAGGAAGTGGAGGGTAAAAGTTCAAACTTCACCAGCAAATATAATCCGCTTCTTCCACAGTTGTCTTAAATTTCAAACTCACGTCTTTACTTAGAGCTTAAAAGAGAAGAGCTCGATGACTTTGTGGTGCAGAGGAGTTCAACTCCAAAGAAGGTGATTACTTTTTTTTTTCTTCATATTTTACATCAAACTGTTTTATTGATCGCATTGTAAACATTTCTGAAATCTTCAGAGATTTCAGGTCACATGGGAGTTTTCCAATTAGAAATATTTTCAAAATTTTTATATTAACTTACAAAATGTCTGGAAATGTACCATAAATGTAACTTTTTTAAAAGTCCTAACTACTATTTTTTCTTTTAACTTACTAATAATAACTTCTTGTTTTTTTAATTGTAGGAATTGGCCAAGTCCATCCTTCGGTATTCCTCCACCAAAAACTGTTAAGTGTTCAAACTCATCCATTATTTCTCAGAAAACTCTTTGTCAGAATATCAGCTGGCAGCAATAGAAACTTTTTACCTAATTTTCTCTCCTTTTATCTATATATTATCTAAATAGTCAGTTGTTAACGTGTCATCATTTTGAATATAACACTGATCAAGAGTAGTTGTGCTTGAGTTGGGAAGTTCAGTCCACGTTGCCACTAGGGGGAGACAGAGGCCATTTTAATGATTTTAAACCAGAGCGTGTTTGTAACATTTATTTTTGCTTATGTATAATTTCCCAGCTCTTGCTGAGTCCAAAGACTCACAGATGAACACACTACTTCATAAACTAAGCTCAACATCACCGAAAGGAGCCGAAAGACCAAAAGTGTCGTTTGGTCCGGTTTTTGAGAAACACAAAACTGTGCCTGGAAAACAAAAACAAAACGACTCGTCCAGCCGAGCCAGGCAAAAGGCCAGGGGTCATTTTACTGCAAATCCTGGTGAGTTTTTAATTTCCTGTGAACTCCTTCACACTAGACTTAGACAAGTCAACACAGCAACAATTATTTTATGATATCAGTAACTGTATACTTGCCACATTCTCCCAGCTGGAAGTGACCACCGTGGCTCTTCGTTTGGTGAAATTTGCCCTCCTAGCCCGCTGCGTTCTGGTTTAATCCTCGCAGATCACTCTAACCCCGTACTATATCCGGCCAGGCTGACCTACTCGAACTTTAACAAGGCGGAAGGGAGATCTGACCCGCAGCCGCAAGCTGAAAAGAAAAAAAAGGTTGTCAGTTTTCTTTACTAATTGGTACGCTGAACCTCGGATTGTTCCATGTTCATTTAATTATATTTGCTGACATCTCTGCATTCCCCTCTTAGGGGGGTTACCGGAAACCCCTGGAGATGCTCCTCAATTTGGTGGACAAACACTGGCGGGGGGAGAGATCGCTGCATCACAACAACAGCTTCCTGTGTGAGCCGGCCAAAAAAAAACAAACTATTTGAGGCATCCAGTCTCAGGATCTAGAGAAGATGAATGTGTTCTCATCCGATCTATTTCTGGCTGTAGCTCAAGCGGTGCAGATCCTCTCCATGATGGAGAGCAATATTTCCAGTCGGGAGGCTGAGGTCAGGACCTTAAGACAGGAAGTGAACGCGCTTCGCTTTCAAGCGCTCTCCCGAGAGAACAAACACAGGACAGAAGCGTGTGACCTCTCCGCCCAGCTGGAGGAAGCTCGCACAGAGGCGGTAAGTTTCCTCCAATCTTAAAAAAACAAAATACTTTAGCTTTAAGAAAGTCGTTCATGAGTTGACACTTTTAATCCAGGGCAAACTGAATGAGCAGCTCAGGATCGTGTTGGAGGAAAATGTCGCCCTGCAAAAACAACTCATCAAGTTAGAGCGGCAGTATCTGAAGTCGATGATGAAAAGTTCTCCGGTTACTCAGATCCGAGGTGGGTGTGATCGCCAGAGATGAATGTGAGTCATGTTCCGGCTGTTTTCTGAACTACCAACACTTCTTTGCGTTTGCTCATCCTTAGAGGCTCAAACAGAAGTGGAGGAGCTGAGGAAAGAGATCGAGGGCCTCAGGAAAAAAGTGCAGGAGGCCGAGAAACTCCACGAACTGTCAAACATGCTTCAGGAGAGCCACAGGTAAAGACAGGAGATATTTTTTTCCAGTGTAAAATGTTGACATTTTTAGAGCATCTATGAACATCAATTTTCAAGTCTTCCCATTGCAACATGTAAGTAAACTTTGATGTCTGTAAAGCCGGATGGTTGACCTTCAACTCGGTCTCAATTGTTTGTCAGTTTCTTACAGAGTTTCTTTCAGGTTTGCTTGACCTTCTGATCAACTGACCAGTTGCCTGACAGTGTCAAAGAAAAGCATTCCTACAGGAATATGGTGCCTCCGCCATGTTCCAACATATTGTTTTCAGGCTGATATGTAGTGCAAGCCTTCCAACACACGTTAAATTTGCACATAAACCAAACCAACCAGGTTCAATTTCAGTTTCATCTAACAACATCACCTTGTTGCACATGCTTGGCGTCTCCCCTACACAAGGACCTCTTGTGGCTTTCTTTCAACAATGGCTCTCCTGAACTCTTCCTGAAAGGTCGACTCAAGTGTCAGACTAATGGTGAAATATTTTTCAAAGCCTAACCTGGCTTTAATCTTCTTCACAACCACATCCCTGGTCAGTCTGCTGAGTTCCTATGTTTCCATGATGCTCTTTGTTCTCTAGCAAACCTCTGAGGCCTTCACTGAAAATTATTAATTTTCATTGGATTTTATGTAAGGGAATTAGAGGAAATGGGACTGAACAGTTATTTTTATTTGTTCTTAACAAAAGCATGTATCATTGGTCTGTTGGCCTATCTTGTAAAAGCCCAATAAGGGGCCCTGAGAATACTGTAGCAAAGCTGGGCTCTTTTTGTGTGATTTGCTGTCTGTGTTTATGCTGCAGGTCCCTGGTGGCTACAAATGAATGTTTGCTTGCTGAGCTTCGGGCAACCGCGGAACATTAAAGCCATATTGAGACCCGAGGATTGCGTGTCAAAGCAGAATTATGCCAAGCTTCATATAAGCAGTAGGTACATTATTTTTGTAATTTTCTGCTTAATTTGATGGCTGGAACTGCTGCAGTTCCGGCCATCTACATCATGTACAGACGGCTTGCATTTTAATGAGGAGTCCTTTTATTCTGAATGATTATATATGGGGTGTCCTCTTGATATAAACAGTTAAGAGAACTGCAATTCATTCATGAAAGCTTGTATATAAGAGTGTGTCAGGGCTGTTATGTTAACAAATGATTTTAGGGGGAAACTACGAAGGTCGTGATGTGTTTCCTGGATCTGTGGCAAGATTGTGTCTGCATTTGTTTTTCTTCTTTTTTTTTTTAGGTCAGTCGTGTATCCATCTGCTTTCTACGCTGCCGTGGATTGAATGCATCAGGACTGCGGCTGCACTGTGACTTTATTTATATGTCTGCCTCGGGTCCGGAGAGCCGCTCGCACACGCACACTCTCCTCCTGCAAGCCTTCATACGAGACTTGGCTGAGCGCCTTTGAAGCGAGCTGAATGTAGCCGCTGCTTTTATCCTGATTTTACAGGTCACTGAGCGAATGGTGCGACCGCCGCAGAAGCACCCCTGAAAAGGCCATAAAGCGGATATATATTTTCTGCTTATTTATTTTCAGTAATGCAATGTAAATCAAGAACACACTTTTAGAGGCATTGAGAACAAGAAAGAAAAGTAGTACACTGCATGCACTGGGGCACAATAGTACTTGAAAAGTTTTTTTTTTTTTTTTTTTTTAAGCAAAAAACAAATATTTCCTCTACATTAAAGGTGCACAATATTTGGCATTAAAACACAGAAAGATACTCAAGCCAACACCAAAAAGATGCTAGTTTTGCAATTGATGCATGATTCTTCATCAGCTGAGGCTGCAGGTAGTGTGTTACACACAATACTGTTATGTTGGAAAAATATTTTACACAAAAATTGTTGTATGCAGTTTTCCCTTGCATCTGGTAGTATGTAAGTAAACATTAAACCCCTGCTTTCATCAGGTAATTACCGTGCCTTAGATGACAGTAGCTTACACAAAAAAAAGGTATACAAATAGGGTAGCATTAGAGGACAGCTTACTTTGTACAAGTACAAATACGTACAGTCATTGCAGGCAAATACAAGGTTTGATCATAATCCCACAGTTTCAATACTTAATTTTATTTATTTATTTATTTTTTAACCGAGAAAATACTTAGGTCTGACCAGTAGTCTGTAATCACATCAGGCACAGCAGTTTAGGGACAAAAAAAAACAAAAAACCTCTGTCATCTATATGCTTCTGAATCAAATGCAATATACACAACATGCACGAGGTACAGCAATACAGAAAAACTAAGTACATAAAAATCAGTGTCTTAAATTAGGCTAATTGGCAGAAGTTGTGTATATTATATACACAACCGTAAAGCAAATATATTAGAGCTACTGTGTATAAATCTGATAAGGAGATAACATAACTAAAATGTTGGAAATACAATCTTGTACAACTGAGCTTAGCCAGTGGGGGAAGATCATCTGCTTTAAATGCATGTTAGGTTGTGTATAATTAAATACCAAAAGCTCAGAAGAATAATTATGTTTAACAACCATTATTAAAAGGGCAGGTCTTTTTATTATGTTTCATGAATTATAAAGTAGAAAAGTTGTGCCAGATTATAATACCTCTGATTTACTTCTTTGGTCTTAGATATGTAGACTAATTCTCAAAATTAGAGAAGCCCAGAAAGGCCAGATGCATAACTTTTTTTTTTTTTAATTGCTTAAAGTGAGATTTTACTCTTGCAAACAAAAATATGACTTCATTTGAGGTTTTTTTGAGGGTGTAATGTTTTTCATCTGGACCGATGCAATCGTTCCCTACAAGACTTTCTTGAAAAAATATGCACACAATTTAAACGTGTTTCCATTGTTTAAACGGCTTTAGGAACCTCCGCATTATTTAGTGAGTCCATGAAAGAAACTTAAACTAGACAGCAGGCTTCCTAAACATAGAATTGATAAGTGCGGATGGGGAAAATAAAGCGCTGAAGATGAAATGAGGGATTAAAGTTCTCGAAACAAACAGCAGTTATATCTGTGTCAAACAGAAAGTGCGCCAATAATCTTTGACCTGACACCATTCTTTCACCAGACAGGGTAATAGAATGTTTTTTTTTTTTTTTTTTTTAAAGTGCAATTTTTGTTTTTTTTTCAAACTGTTCTGTTTTTGTTCTTGGCACTCTGTTCATTGTGCTTGTTTAATATTAAGGGGCCGTATCATAAGAGGCTCTAGCAGCTCCTCTCATTGGTTCTTCTTAGTGTTTGGCAGTAACTCGCTATCAGACAGGAATGTACCGGCTGGTGATGACTTCGTAAAAATACTTGTAAACAGTTTTCCAGTTCTCACACAGAGAATAGTTTAAAAACCATCATTTTTTTGTTTTGTTTTTTAAATCTCTCTCACTCACAGACATACACATAAAAACAAATGGGCTGGGAAATGTATGAGCTTGTATTCTTTTGTGCTTTCTATGAGTACTCTGTAGAAAATCATCTTAGCGGTTGATGAAATGTTTTGCCTTCACATGGGTCGGCCCTCGGTGGGTTTGTTCACTTTCTTTTCGTACGTCCCTCGATGTTTGTATCCCGATACGTATCCCGAAGTGTCGACGAGGTCCACCCGACCGGCCTTCCCCTTCCCTCGGCCGGTCTCATCGAAACGCTCCTTGTGCGACCCCGTGAACTTGGTGGTGTCTGTGAGGCGGCTCACTGTGGGCGAGGCCACAGCCCTCTGCGGAGCAGTTTGCAGAACGTTCGAGTCATGACGGTGATCGCTGGTGAAACTGACGTGAATTTTGCGACGGACGAAGTCTTACCGTGACTCCTGCTATGACCGGCGCCTTCCCCTCAATCAGCTTGAAGACCTCGGCTTCAGCATCTTCTCCAGTCTTTTCTTTGTATTTCTTCCGAGCCAGCTCTCCAAGAGCCACTTTGAATTCCTCAAACGTGATAGTTCGACAGGATTTCTTCCTGAAAAGTTGGAGCAGGAGGAGACTAGGTTTGAATTTGGGGAAGATATGCTTGCAACTATGTGAGCATAAAACCCCCAAAATGACTGTAAATGTCTTTGGTATTTTTGCTTCCAAAGAATGAGACGTTCCTGCTATCTTGAAACAACGAGAGAAGAAAGGTAGGGTGATATCTCAAATAACTTAAACATCTGGAGATTCTCTGGCAAAACCGCAGATTTTGAAGCTTGGTTTATCAACAGACCTCTCAGAACCAGCTGAAGACATCTTAAATGGGTCCATTAAATGTCTAATTACATTTGAAATAATTAACATCGATCCTATTAAAATGCATGCAGCTACAATCCATTTCAGACTAGTTAAATGGTGCTTCCTAAATACCATGAAATTTTTAAAACTTCATTGTATTCTATTGGGATTCAAACACAAAGTATTTAACAAGATGGGAAAAGACGAGATTTGAGGGTTTTCTGTGTACCCTCAAAAAAATTGCACTTGTGGTTGCGACCAAAGGTGACTTTAGAAGTGGTCAAAATGCAAATCCATGTCACTCTTCAGTTTTTATTTGTGGAGAGACTTGGAAGCCATGCATCATATTTCTCCTACTTCATAATTGTGAGCTTCTTTGTGTCGTCATAAAATCTTGATAAAATGCATTGAAGTTTGTGGTTGGGACATGATAAAATCGAAAAAAGTTCAAGGGGGACGAAACTTGTAAACCTCGTAAGATAGCATCCAGCCAGATTTAGTTGATCATAAAAAGAAATAAAAAGAATGTGACTTCAGTGAAACACAAAATGGAGACGTTCTCTCAGACTGTACCTCCTTACAATCACTTAAACCTGCAGAATACAACCAAGTATCTGTGAAGGTGTTCAATTCCCACAGAACAGATCACACCTTGAAAGTATCATGGATCATCAATCATTGCTGCTGTGAGAGCACTTCAGTGGTTTAACTCGCCTTTTGCCCGTTTCACTTCCACATTAAAAGCCCTTAGTAACACAAACACAAACAATCCATCGCTGTGGAGATAAATCACCCAAACAACGGCCTATAAAGCCAACCATCTCCCCAGGCAACCGTGCTGTCATAGCAACAAACTACAGCAAACAAGAAATGTTTGGGCTTTACTATCAGTTTGACTTTTCCTGTGACCCAGTGGTGGTTTTGTTTTGGAGATCGTTCAGTGGCGAACATCTGAAGCTCTGATCCTGTGCGTCTGCTTCATGCCGTCTACGGTCAGAGAGAACGAAAGCTGGATTTTCAGCCGCTGCTTCTGCAACACGTCTCTCTTTTCTGTCTCACCATGCTGACATGCTCAGTTTCTTACAAGATAAGGCAAATGGTTGTATGTACAATGAATTGAAATATGCTCCAATAAAATAAAAATAAAAAGAAAAACGACAAAATATTAAAAGGCCCCAGCAATATCAGATCCAATAGGGAGTAAAATATGAGTGACCCTAGAAAATGAATCCCCTTTCATATGCTGATACTAATGAATTGTGAATTATTTATTTGTCGCCCCTGGCTTATGTTTTTCTGCCCTGAACTACAGCAGAGACAGACCTTCATTTGCAGCATACTGCCATATTCACTGAGCCGCACTGTGATTACTCAGTGTGAGTTTAGTTGTGCATGTGAAATAAATAAATAAACTTTGACGCAGGCTAAATATAAATTCATGGTGTAAAGATCAGGCTCTTCCTCCATTGCTCAGATACGCCTGAATTAAGAAACAAGACAAAACGTTGCCCCTCGCTTTACTGTGTCTCCGCTCACCGGGGAGTCTGAACTGTACACACATCTGGCCATACATCAATATTCTTCACAATATACCGCGGGTGTACCTGATAATCCTCAGCACTTGAGATGCAACATTTACACGCAAGATGTATGTAAAAGAGCGCAAATCCACTAAGCCTAAAAACACATAGAATCCACTTTTAGTTTCTTAAAATTCTGCAGAACGTTGGCACATTTTTCAGTATTGGCCAACAGATCAGGGTGTGAACGAAGCATTACAGTCACCCACTAGATTATTTTTTGTATACTTGCCAAGAAAATCATTCCCATGCCAACAGAGATGGTGTCAGTGCAGGTGTCTCAAAACAACAAAAATTGCTTTGACAAAGGCGAGGAAGGCAAAGGTTAGTTTTTGTGGATATATTGTCCCTCGCAATATATCCACAAAATATATTGCGAGGCGCAAATCACAGAGTCAACCAAACAAGCTACATGTCTGACATGTATCCCTTTAATTTCTCAGTAAAAAAGAAATATTATACTGGTGTATAATTTAAAAGCCAGGTGTTTAATTTAGGATTTAGTTTTAGAATTATGTTTTTTTGCAATACCAAAATACTAAAAGTTTAGTATTTTTTTTCCACTGTTGGTTCTGAGAGCAGAAATATCAATGGGTTTCTAAATACTCATTTTTCATCACCACTTTTTTAAATTACTACTTTTTTAAATTACTACTTTTTTAAATAACACTGAATAGACTTTTACGTTCATATAATACATTTCTACTACGGTAATAACTGTAAATAATAAATTTAACTAACATG